GGCGCAAACTTTTCACTGTTAGAAAGAGCTGGTGAAAGAATCTACAATACTGACTGCTCCGATTTTTGTTGCAAGTCCCCGATTTTTATGACCTTACACAGAAAATTCAAATTTTGACCATTTTTCTTCTATCGCTCCTATCTATGCAACTACGCTCTATCTATGCAGATGATCATTACTAAGCAGCTGATATGTCATTATAAAGAGCATAACTTACCCTTTCACATAGAAGTGAAAGAGGTCAAATTGGTTGGAAAAATCAGAAGTTATGAATTTTTGAAAATCGTGCACAAAAACTTTCGGAATGACTTAATAAGAGCGAGGTGAGCAAGTTAATAGTAAAAAATGTGCTGTGGATTGACATCGTTATCAGCACTAACGGGAACGTGAGCGGGTTGTTATATGTTTATGTTTTTTTTTGGTAAATAATGTGCTTTTGACAGTTATGCCATCATTATTAGCACACACTCAAAAAACTATGGGAGATTGGTGAATTTCCACACCTTTCACACAAAAACCCGCCCATTTCTGAAATCTATACTCTGTAAACCTAGTGCTGAAGAAGGTCACTTTCGTGAAAACGCTCTAAACTCATCTTACCTAAATTGTAGAGAATGGTTGGTTTCAATGAATTAAAAACTTTAAGACATTCAGAAAAATAACATGTTATTAAAATATCCCTCAATATTTTAAAAAGGTTGAGTTTGAAGAGGAAACGGCAGGCAGAATACTTTACAGTCGCGGATGACTCGCATGTGCTCCATTTCAACAGCGAGGCAGAAGGAGAATCTTACGCCGACGAAAATGTTGTCGACATTGATACAGAGTTGACAAATGAGCGAAACTCTCTGATTTCCTAGTCAAGAAATCCAAGCAGATTGCCTACTTTCAATGAGGAAACATTCAGGAAGTCTATTGCTGATCTTCAGGTTGCTGAAGATTTCAAGGTTGCTAAATTCACAAACGTGGATATGAACAAAGGGAAGGTGTTAGTGCAAAGCACATAGCTATTGCTCTTAGATTCCGACTGGAGTGCGAACCCAACTCTGTGCTTTATGCTTTTGGAAGTTATTCGCCTTGTGACATTATGACCTATGATATTGAAGAAATAAACCAGCGCGCAGCATACTATCTACTTTTTTTTCGGCTATTCCGCAGATGCTGTTAAAGAAAAAGTTGAGCACCTTTTTCATCAGCTAACAGGACGTATGCCAGAGGAGGTGAAGCCAGAGTTTGACAAGGCTCAAAAAAGTATGCAATATTTCCTTCCCGTGTTGCGAAAGCATATGCGATCTGGCTCTTTTCTCATTACTTACCGAAAAAATCTGATGGACTTACTACCTAGCAAAGCTAGTTTCCATTCCGACTAGCACGGCAGAGGTGGAGAAAGAAATTTTCTATCTACTATGTTATCAGAACACAACGCAGAAGTCGTACAACGATGGAGCATCTAAGCAATTACTTAAGGGTTGTCAACCTTCTATTAAACATATTGTTATCTAAAAACTTCATTTAAAGGATTGCTATAAGTGGTCCAGACAGGCTGTTACCGTATGACTTTTTGAAATTTCCTAAAAGATGGTATGAAGAAACTGGTCACCTACCTGCTGACTTTCCTGGTGCTACCAGAGGGCCAGGAAAAAAGTCACAAAGGCGCTTATAAGAAGAAGAAAGTTTCAAATTCATTTTCGATTCAAAACGCTTTTGCACGCAATTCTACTTCTATTCCGATAACCTTTTGGAGGAGGAAGAAGATTTTTCAGGCAGCGAACTTGTTGTCTCTGAGTTTAGCGATAGTGATATTGTTGATGATGATGTGCAGGAATTGAAGTTGTTCCTAACTTGTACATCTTTCGGGATAAACCTTATTGTTTTCGTTTTTTGTTGATGCAATGAAACAGGAGCACAGATCTTCATAAAGTCATTCTTTTCAAATTTTTTAAATTTCTTTCAAAACTTTTCATTTTTTTTTCAATTTGTGCCTAAATAAGGTACAAATTAGAGCTTTTCGCACCTCGCATTTTTACCTTTTCTCTCTTCCCCCCCCCCCTAGACCCCCCTAGACTCATATACCCCTTCACCCTGGAAGGCCGGGAACAGCCGAGACCCCCTTCACCTGGGGAGAGCCCGGCTCCCCCTATCGCACCTATGCCTGGAAGTAGTATGAATTTGCACGGGGTGTGGGCCACATCGTCCCTGGCAGCAAAAAGTGCGTGTGCCACCGGTCCACATCGTCGTCAATGGGTCTATATAGTGTCTCTGCAGATCCGATCACGCTTGTGCATCAACAATTGCCATTGTCAGTTTTAGCAAGTGTTTTATAGTGTTTTCTTTGCTTTTCAAGTAAGTCGTTGCTGATGAAGGAGAAAAATATAAAGTTAGACAGTAGCCTCTGTTTTCTGAGTAGCCAATACATCGCTTATTCTCAGTTTTAAACGAAAGTTACGTTTCGTCAGTTTTATTTCTATTTTTCGTCGGGAGCTCTTCGTGTCTATGTGTATTTTTTTGTCACTTTACGCCTCTATCTTGTTGTGAAGCATTTTTTAGAAGCTAGTAGATGTTTACTGTTTGCATGACTTATCGTCTTATCACACAAACTATAGATTGAATGCCATCTTTTTGGAAGGAAATCAAAGTTGTTGCAAAGACCATTAACGTTGAAAGAGAAGCTTCACAAGAAGAAAGAGGCGAAGTGAGGAAAAATACACATAAAACTGTGGCTTTCACATAGATACCTGAGGTTGAGCGTCAGAAAACAGAAACTACTCTCAAACTCATCCTTTTCTTCTTTATCAGCTTTGAGCCATTTACAAAGCAAAGAATAAGCAAAAAGCACGAGAAAATATTGCTCGGAAACTCGTAATGGCAATTGCTGACGCACAAGCGTTGTCGCGTTTGCAGGGACACTATATTAAGCAGATCTACTCGATTGTACACGCAGAGCTGCGTTGTATGCCCCACACTTTTGATTTCTCCTGAAGTTATTCGAGCATGGTAGTCCTCCATTTGCTTTGTTCGGAGAATTATTAGGTTGGCACATAAGTAATGCAACTTTTTATATAACTTTTGTCTATTTGAACGTAGCGCATTCATTTTTTGGCAATATAAGAAATATGATGTAAGCTTCTAATGCACACATTTTTGCCAAATTTTACCATCTTATGTGAGGATTACGGTAGGTTTACGGTACTACGGGAAAAATTTTAGAATGCATCAGATTTTGCTGAAACTTGGCCTATAGGGCTTATTCGACATGCTGATCACAAAATTGAGATTCGTTTCGCATGAAAAGGCCTCGTTCGTGAGATCAAAAGATGAATTTCATTTTAGCGACAAACGACATTTGACCTGTTTAACTTCTCAAAGGCGCCCCACCTTGATTTGTGTTCAAATTTCATTTCTTCTTTACAGATTTTAATCTGTCCACTTTTAGCTACATGCTGCCTATAGCTGCTTCTTGATATGTTCGATTCAGGTTTCGTAGGGCCTCATGATTGCCAAAAAACCGTGAAATTTCGATTTTCAGCAGTTTTCAAAAAATGCTTAGATTTCTCGTACTACTTTATCAAAAACTAGCTGGCTTACCCGGCTCCGCCGTATCCGGACCAAACTTGGCACACATACACTTCGGGCCCCGGCGGGTGTCACAGTCCACTTTTCGTTATCGATCGATGTCGATTTTACCGATTTTTATCGATTTTTTGGCAGAGTTCACCTACAGGGCTAGGAGTTGGCACAGGGGGGAAGTGAGCATGGGGATTCCGAATACAATATTAGTTTTCAGAATTATCGATTGCTTTTATTGATTTTATCGATTTTTTGGCAGAGTTCACCTACAGGGCTAGGAGTTGGCACAGGGGGGAAGTGAGCATGGGGATTCCGAATACAATATTAGTTTTCAGGATCGTCCATTACTTTTATCGATTTTATCGATTTTTTGCAAAGTTTGACCTGCGGGGCTGGGAGTTTGCACAGAGGGTAATCGAGCATGCAGATTACGAATACAATATTAGTTTTCAAGATCGTCCATTACTTTTATCGATTTTATCGATTTTTTGAAAATTTGAGCTAGGGGGCTGGAATTTGGCACAGGGGTGTTCGAGCATGCTGATCACCCCCCTTGGGGATGATCAGCATGCTCGATTACCCCCCTGTGCCAACTCCCAGCCCCCTAGCTCAAACTTTGCAAAAAAATCGATAAAATCGATAAAAGTAATTGATAATCCTGAAAACCAATATTGTATTCGGAATCCCCATGCTCGATTACCCCCCTGTTCGAACTCCCAGCCCCGTAGCTCAAACTTTGCAAAAAAATCGATAAAATCGATAAAAGTAATCGATAATCCTGAAAACCAATATTGTATTCGGAATCCCCATGCTCGATTACCCCCCTGTGCCAACTCCCAGCCCCGTAGCTCAAACTTTGCAAAACAATCGATAAAATCGATAAAAGTAATCGATAATCCTGAAAACCAATATTGTATTCGGAATCCCCATGCTCGATTACCCCCCTGTGCCAACTTCCAGCCCCGTAGGTGAACTCAGCAAAAAAATCGATAAAAATCGATAAAATCGATATCGATCGATGACGAAAAGTAGCCTATGACACCCGCCGGGGCCCGTAGTGTATGTGTGCCAAGTTTGGTCCGGATCGGTTCAGAAATGGAATTTTCTATTCGGAACATACGTACACACAGACATACATACAGACAGACAGACAGACATACAGACAAACAGACATTCAGCTTTATATATAAGATTAAACGTTTTGCGCACACTTGCAGCTTACATCACGGTCTACATGATGCCACAAAATGAGATTGCTACATAAAATAGACAAAAAATTACGGGAAAAGTTGCAAAACTTATGTGCCAACCTAATATTTACAAAAAATTTTTTGGTAAAGTGACATTCAAACATTAGTTTATGGAGCTTGGCATACATTTTATCTTTACTTCTATGCTTTTATACTCTCTTCTTCCTTTAAAAACGTACTTACCCAACACATTCACTTGCTTTTGCAGTGGCATCACAACGATGAAGAACCTCGCGCTCGAAAAGTGAGCGGGACAACGAAGAGCATGCTGATCCAAGTCTGCAGTACAGATCGAGAACAGAGACCGCAACGTTTCTAAAAGTCGAAGTTTTGGCTATGTTGACAGTATGCCGCTCAAATCTTCATAATGTGGCTAAGGTCCGATCTGCATATTAGTCTTGTTTCTCTTTCCTAATTTTAGCTAAAACATTCTCTTTAAAAAATGATCGTCGGTCTTGTGAGCAAGCACAATAGTCAATTCAGCACAACTTGTTCATATCGTTACATGAGAACCTCCCTTAGATAGACTCAGTAAAAACATGCGGGCACATAAAATTTTGCGCAAGCTCAGAAAAAGCTTTAGAGCAACTGTTATCTTTTTGCATGATAGGTATGATGTAAAATATGATCACTGAAAACCTCGATAAAATCATCGGATTAGTTTTGAAGTATTTCCATTGCTAAGTACGACCTTAACTGTTAAGCTTGTTGAGCACTGCAGTAAAGGCTGGCTGCAAGTAAATCCTGCGGATTATGCTTTTGATAAGAAAAAATGGGCTATTGAGATATTGAGACTATTGAAAAGGCTCAACTTTTGACTTGGTTCAGATTCCATGACTTCGATGCATGAACCGTCCTTAGCAATGCTGGGTTGTATAATCAGTATACTTCTTTTGATTTCAACGAAATGTTAATAATTTCGAAGAAGAGGCAACTGGCAGCTTGGGATTATCAAGAAACCAGTGCATCACCTCTGCTTCGCAGAGGCTCGCACTGGCCCTACTTTCTGTATGCCTTACTCATTCCCGCATAATAGCGACATTGAAACTCACCGCGTTATGCAGGTTATCACGAATGATTTGTAGACAGCTACTCATTCCTAAAGCTTTTTTGCGTGTGATCGGTATTCTCACGAGGACGAAACTTTTCTCGGAAGAATAAATGCAAATTTGAGTAGGTTTGTGGACTTTTTATGGCTTGGTAGTCGCCATAACGGTAATAATCATCGTGGGCTACATCACTGTGCAAAAATCTTTTCAAGTGATCAGGTAAAATTTTGGGAAATTGAACATTTACGCAACTAATTCTGTTTGGCGCCATCTTCGTAAAGTAACCAACTTTAGTCGAATTTTTTGGGCTAAAGTCCATGGCTTGTACATTAGCTTGTCAAACATATCCACGACTTTGCAAAAATTTATATACGGACCCAATTTTGCCGGCCAGAAGTTAAGTGGACCCGCTTCAGGCGCAATTTCTAGGGGATCCACTTATCGGATCCGCTTGTGCTTTTGCACAATGGACTCTCCTGCTGCTAGGATGTAATATGCAAAATTTGGGCTCAAGGGGTTGGCTGAAACTCTTCCTCCGAATTTCGTGACAGACAGATTTACAGACAGACACACACACAAAAAAACAGACGGCCTTAGCGCGTTATTATAGTAGGATCATATGAAAAGCGAAGTATGTATCTTGCACAACCTGCGACTCGCTCTTATCCTACGTCCATAGTGAAGTAGTAAAGACAGGACATTGTAGCTTCAGGATGTGAAGCAGGGCCCGGCGGGGGTGGCACTTTCACAAGCTGGATATCGTTTTTGGCCCGAAAAAGCAAAGGGGAAGTCGTATTTTGGGGTCCGGGGCTCCGCCACGGATTCCAAAATACGACTTCCCCTTTTTTACCGATAAACAATGCACATATCATTCTTTATTCATCATTCCTTGTTGATGCTACTGTCCTATGAACTTAGATTCCAGCAATGTGAAGATTCTGTGCTCCGATCGCTGGCCTGCCCGCAGGCGGGAATTCAAATCGCAAATTTGTAAGAGGAAAATAACAAAATAGGCTCGTTTTCAATGCACAAGTAACGAAATGGCACCAAATTTGCTGTACAGTTGGAGGACCATGAGCACAAAAAAAGTATGAAGAATAATGAGGAACTTACGTGGATTTGAAAAATGGCAAGTGTTTTTCAAAATTAGGTGGCTCCCGCGCCACCTGGGAGCAACCTGGGGTGGCTCCCTGCTTCCCTTCACATAATTTCCCGGATTTCTTTACATAAATAGGGACTAGGTCGAGAGTATTACCATATGTTCAAATCCGCTTCCAAAACCACCAAGACATCGCTTCGATACAGCCCCAAATAGGGTTCACAGCGTTATGATCGGTCTCGGAAAGCGCGCTCCAATCGCAATCGGTCATTGTAAACTGTAAAGTTTCGCAGCTGACTAATAAATGAGTAGTATCTTAGATATATAAACGTCAAAGTTTGTGCAAATCTTGACCCTATGTTTTTTCATAGATTCCTTTGCGTCTGAACCCATTGAGCTGAGGATAAGGGGGAGGCCTGCAGTGCAGTATTGATACTGCAGAAAAGGGATGGAGAATATGGCCCAAAAGGACGGGAAGGTAGAAGGACAAAAAGTGTGGTTTTTGGCCATCCCCTCAAACGATGACCCGGGCTGGACCAGGAAAGCCAGGTAGTACTACTATAATAAGCGTTGAGGCCGCCCATCTTATCATTTGTGTATAGCTGGTCAAAAATAGGGTCAAAGGGGAAGTCGCAAGAAATTTTGGCTTTAAAGGGGATATCGTTTTCAAAATTCTGAAATGCCACCTGCTGCCGGGCCCTGATGTAAAGCTTTATTTCAAACTCTATTCCTCTCCTTAGCGCGAATGTTGAATGCGGCCCTTGATTTCATAGTTGAACTACGGATTCCTTGGGCATTTTCCCTTTATTTCAAAGTTTTTCCGATTCTTCCATGTTAGTAGTGAAGATTTGGCGGCACCTAAAAGAAGTGTCCCGAGTAGAACTCGATTTTTAGCAAATTCACTCAAATGGGGTTATCCGCGACGATGAATCCAAAAAAAGTTAGAAAGCGCAAAGACGACGAAAATATGATCTTTTGAAAGTCTTACAAATTGAATTTGGACGAGTGGAACAGTGCCCGCAAGACGCAGTGTCACCTCAGAACCTAGAACTCAACTGTGACGGCATGCGTATTCTGCCACAGAGCAGCAAATCCGCAGGTGGACATGCGCAGTGCGTTAATTCTCTCTTTCTGATTGTACGCTCCTGCTTAAACTTCATGGCCTTGCACTTGCGCGATGCCATGTCCGCAAGGAAACCGCTTCGCATGAATGATATCCCAAGATCCCCGACCTTGTTCCGGACACTGCCTTAGTTGTATAGATACCCCTGAGGGTTACTTGGAGAGCTAGCCTTTTTCCTCTAACGAGAGAACGACCCCAACGTAGAGACAGTGTCTTGGCAAAATTCTTTTCACCTTTTCGGAGCCTTCTCGCCATGATGAACCCATATCTGTGCTTTTAAGCGCATAAAAATGGCAAAAATGAGCTTCTTCCAAAGCTTTCTATTCCCGCATTTAGTGGAGATTACGTGCAAGTGGGCGGGGAGCAGGAGACCTCCGTCGTGAGCAAATGAAGACAGTTTCGATTATTCAGCATATTTTGTAGGTAAAGCTCTGTCAGTATGTGTCCACTTGTTCGCATGTTCCATAGAGAACGTTTCATTCCTAAGCTAATGCGAACCAAACTTTGCCAGGCACATTGAGGGCAGGAAGATGGCATAGAATACAACATTTGTTTCAAAGTGACGCATTTCATATGTAAACTTTGGCTTTTTCTGCAAAGCAGTAAGCGCTGAAGTTACAAAGAATAAATCACGAAAGCGCAGGAGAATGGGAAGAGGCTGGAGGAACACGGGAAAAAATTTCTACATATCGTTGAGACATTCGTAATTCAAGATGTGAGCCTGCACATTGCGCGGCAACCGACGTAAGTTTTTCAGATGAACAAACAAATTGTATGCTATCCCATATTCATCCAACGAAGCTAAAAGAAAGAAAAAACAAGTAAAAATTTCTAAAAAAAATACGTGATGATTTTGCATGCTACTAATTCTAAGCATCCTCCTAAACCCATCTTTAGAAGGTTTGACGATATATGAAATTTGAAGTTTGAAACTGCGTATGTGGGAGCAGCCCAGAATTGCTTCGTTAAAAGCAAACCAAACTTGTTTTTCTCGGCAGCCAGGAAAGTCGCGCAATCCTGCAGCGAATTTCATATAGACAGTATATGCGTGCGCATGGGTTTCTTTTCAATATTGAGGTTGTCTATTTTCCAAATTCTAGTTTCAAACTTCGATATGAATCTTGGCGCAAATGTTCGAAATTTATTCTGTGGAACTTGCTAGAGACCGTATGCAGTATGTGATGTGTTTGTGAACGTATAGTATGTGAACGCGGCAATGACCGTTTGAGCGGCACTTGCTTTACGACGGAGAAGTTTATCGGCAAGCCGGAAAACTTTGCCCACATAGTTATTGGACACCGAGCAAAATCACAGACTATTTTTTACTGGTACAGGAAGGTATTAGGTTGGCAAATAAGTTTTGCAACTTTTCCCGTAATTTTTCCTATTTTATGTAGCAATCTCATTTTGTGGCATCATGTAGATCGTGATGTAAGCTGCAAGTCTGCGCAAACCGTGTATTTTTGATAACGTAGTTCAAAAAATCTAAGCATTTTTTGAAAACTGCTGAAAATCGAGGTTTCACGATTTTTTGGCAAACATGAAGCCCTACGAAACCTGATTCAAACATATGAAAAGGCAATTATAGGCAGCATGTAGCTGGAAGTTGGCACTTTGGAATCAGTGAGAAAGAAATGAAATTTAAACACAAATTAAGGTGGGGCGCCTTTGAGAAGCTGAACAAGTCAAATGCGTCAAGTTTTGAAGGCGATTTGTCAATAACTAAGCTGAGAAAAGTTAGAATTCACTATAACTTTGCACTATAGAGTAATCCTATGCGGTAAACACGAATATCATATTCATTTGTCGCTAAAATGAAATTCATCTTTTGATCTCACGAACGAGGCCTTTTCATGCGAAACGGATCTTATTTTTGTGATCAGCATGTCGAATAAGTTCTATAGGACAAGTTTCAGAAAAATTTAATGCATTCTAGAATTTTTCCCATAGTACCGTAAACCTACCGTAATCCTCACATAAGATGGTAAAATTCGGCAAAAATGTGTGCATTAGAAGCTTACATCATCTTCCTTATATTGCCAAAAAATGAATGCGCTACGTTCAAATAGACAAAAGTTATATAAAAAGTTGCATTACTTATGTGTCAACCTAATACTTCTTTCACTGTTTTGATTTTTGACGCTTTTTTTGAAGATTCAGTTTCTCCAGCTCAACTTGATATCGCGATTAGAATAATGCGAAAAGTCAGTTTTCGCCCTAAGAGGGACGGAAAATGGTGCCGAGTGGCGGGGGAAGGGGAGGATTAGTAGGAGAGCAACTCGGGGAAATAACTCGAAATAACAGCAACTTTATTTTTCTATGCCTTCTCCCGCACGAAAATCTAATGGTTAATTGTAAGTCAAATTCTTTTTGCAAAGTCCTGAGGAAAGTTACAATTATTGTAGAGACGGTAGGCAGCAGTTTCCAGCTGCCAACTGAGGAGAATGCTTTATGACTGCCATCCCCTCAAATGCCGTTTAGTAGAGGAGAAGCGCAAACCTTTATGCCTTCTTCTACATGAAGATTTGATGGTTAATTGTAAGCCAAATTTTTTTTGCAAAGTCCTGAGGAAAGTTATAGTTATTGTAGAGGCAGTAGGCAGCAGTTTCCAGCTGCCAACTGAGGGGAAGGCTTTGTGACTGCCATCTCCTCAGGTGCCGGTCCAGTAGAGGAGAAGCGCAAATCTTTATGGCTTCTTCTACATGAAGATTTGATGGTTAATTGTAAGTCAAATTTTTTTTGCAAAGTCTTGAGGAAAGTTATAGTTATTGTAGAGGCAGTAGGCAGCAGTTTCCAGCTGCCAACTGAGGGGAAGGCTTTGTGACTGCCACCCCCTCAAGTGCCGTCCAGTAGAGGAGAAGCGCAAATCTCTATGCCTTCTTCTACATGAAGATTTGATGGTTAATTGTAAGTCAAATTTTTTTTGCAAAGTCCTGAGGAAAGTTATAGTTATTGTAGAGGCAGTAGGCAGCAGTTTCCAGCTGCCAACTGAGGGGAAGGCTTTGTGACTGCCATCCTCTTAAATGCCGTCCAGTAGAGGAGAAGCGCAAACCTTTATGCCTTCTCCTACATGAAGATTTGATGGTTAATTGTAAGCCAAATTTTTTTTGCAAAGTCCTGAGAAAAGTTATAGTTATTGTAGAGGCAGTAGGCAGCAGTTTCCAGCTGCCAACTGAGGGGAAGGCTTTGTGACTGCCATCTCCTCAGGTGCCGGTCCAGTAGAGGAGAAGCGCAAATCTTTATGGCTTCTTCTACATGAAGATTTGACGGTTAATTGTAAGTCAAATTTTTTTTGCAAAGTCTTGAGGAAAGTTATAGTTATTGTAGAGGCAGTAGGCAGCAGTTTCCAGCTGCCAACTGAGGGGAAGGCTTTGTGACTGCCACCCCCTCAAGTGCCGTCCAGTAGAGGAGAAGCGCAAATCTTTATGGCTTCTTCTACATGAAGATTTGATGGTTAATTGTAAGTCAAATTTTTTTTGCAAAGTCTTGAGGAAAGTTATAGTTATTGTAGAGGCAGTAGGCAGCAGTTTCCAGCTGCCAACTGAGGGGAAGGCTTTGTGACTGCCACCCCCTCAAGTGCCGTCCAGTAGAGGAGAAGCGCAAATCTCTATGCCTTCTTCTACATGAAGATTTGATGGTTAATTGTAAGTCAAATTTTTTTTGCAAAGTCCTGAGGAAAGTTATAGTTATTGTAGAGGCAGTAGGCAGCAGTTTCCAGCTGCCAACTGAGGGGAAGGCTTTGTGACTGCCATCCTCTTAAATGCCGTCCAGTAGAGGAGAAGCGCAAACCTTTATGCCTTCTCCTACATGAAGATTTGATGGTTAATTGTAAGCCAAATTTTTTTTGCAAAGTCCTGAGAAAAGTTATAGTTATTGTAGAGGCAGTAGGCAGCAGTTTCCAGCTGCCAACTGAGGGGAAGGCTTTGTGACTGCCATCTCCTCAGGTGCCGGTCCAGTAGAGGAGAAGCGCAAATCTTTATGGCTTCTTCTACATGAAGATTTGACGGTTAATTGTAAGTCAAATTTTTTTTGCAAAGTCTTGAGGAAAGTTATAGTTATTGTAGAGGCAGTAGGCAGCAGTTTCCAGCTGCCAACTGAGGGGAAGGCTTTGTGACTGCCACCCCCTCAAGTGCCGTCCAGTAGAGGAGAAGCGCAAATCTCTATGCCTTCTCCCGCACGAAAATTTGATGGTTAATTGTAAGTCGAATTCTTTTTGCAAAGTCCTGAGGCAAGTTATAGTTATTGTAGAGGCGGTAGGCAGCAGTTTCCAGCTGCCAACTGAGGGGAAGGCTTTATGGCTGCCATCCTCTTAAATGCCGTCCAGTAGAGGAGAAGCGCAAATCTCTATGCCTTCTCCCGCACGAAAATTTGATGGTTAATTGTAAGTCAAATTCTTTTTGCAAAGTTCTGAGGAAAGTCACAGTTATTGTAGAGGCGGTAGGCAGCAGTTTCCAGCTGCCAACTGAGGGGTATGCTTTATGACTGCCATCCCCTCGAATACCGTTCAGTAGAGGAGAAGCGCAAACCTTTATGCTTTCTCCTACATGAAGATTTGATGGTTAATTGTAAGTCAAATTCTTTTTTGCAAAGTTCTGAGGAAAGTCACAGTTATTGTAGAGACGGTAGGCAGCAGTTTCCAGCTGCCAACTAAGGGGAAGGCTTTGTGACTGCCATCTTCTCAAATGCCGTCCAGTAGAGGAGAAGCGCAAATCTCTATGCCTTCTTCCGCACGAAAATTTAATGGTTAATTGTAAGCCAAATTTTTTTTGCAAAGTCCTGAGGAAAGTTATAGTTATTGTAGAGGCAGTAGGCAGCAGTTTCCAGCTGCCAACTGAGGGGAAGGCTTTGTGACTGCCATCCCCTCAGGTGCCGGTCCAGTAGAGGAGAAGCGCAAATCTCTATGCCTTCTCCCGCACGAAAATTTGATGGTTAATTGTAAGTCAAATTCTTTTTGCAAAGTCCTGAGGAAAGTCACAGTTATTGTAGAGACGGTAGGCAGCAGTTTCCAGCTGCCAACTGAGGGAAATGCTTTATGACTGCCATCCCCTCGAATGCCGTTCAGTAGAGGAGAAGCGCAAATCTCTATGCCTTCTCCTACATGAAGATTTGATGGTAAATTGTAAGTCAAATTCTTTTTGCAAAGTCCTGAGGAAAGTTACAGTTATTGTAGAGGCAGTAGGCAGCAATTTCCAGCTGCCAACTGAGGGGAAGGCTTTGTGACTGCCACCCCCTCAAGTGCCGTCCAGTAGAGGAGAAGCGCAAATCTTTATGGCTTCTTCTACATGAAGATTTGATGGTTAATTGTAAGTCAAATTTTTTTTGCAAAGTCTTGAGGAAAGTTATAGTTATTGTAGAGGCAGTAGGCAGCAGTTTCCAGCTGCCAACTGAGGGGAAGGCTTTGTGACTGCCACCCCCTCAAGTGCCGTCCAGTAGAGGAGAAGCGCAAATCTCTATGCCTTCTTCTACATGAAGATTTGATGGTTAATTGTAAGTCAAATTTTTTTTGCAAAGTCCTGAGGAAAGTTATAGTTATTGTAGAGGCAGTAGGCAGCAGTTTCCAGCTGCCAACTGAGGGGAAGGCTTTGTGACTGCCATCCTCTTAAATGCCGTCCAGTAGAGGAGAAGCGCAAACCTTTATGCCTTCTCCTACATGAAGATTTGATGGTTAATTGTAAGCCAAATTTTTTTTGCAAAGTCCTGAGAATAGTTATAGTTATTGTAGAGGCAGTAGGCAGCAGTTTCCAGCTGCCAACTGAGGGGAAGGCTTTGTGACTGCCATCTCCTCAGGTGCCGGTCCAGTAGAGGAGAAGCGCAAATCTTTATGGCTTCTTCTACATGAAGATTTGACGGTTAATTGTAAGTCAAATTTTTTTTGCAAAGTCTTGAGGAAAGTTATAGTTATTGTAGAGGCAGTAGGCAGCAGTTTCCAGCTGCCAACTGAGGGGAAGGCTTTGTGACTGCCACCCCCTCAAGTGCCGTCCAGTAGAGGAGAAGCGCAAATCTTTATGGCTTCTTCTACATGAAGATTTGATGGTTAATTGTAAGCCAAATTTTTTTTGCAAAGTCCTGAGAAAAGTTATAGTTATTGTAGAGGCAGTAGGCAGCAGTTTCCAGCTGCCAACTGAGGGGAAGGCTTTATGACTGCCATCCCCTCAGGTGCCGATCCAGTAGAGGAGAAGCGCAAACCTCTATGCCTTCTCCTACATGAAGATTTTATGGCTAATTGTAAGCCAAATTTTTTTTGCAAGTCCTGAGGAAAGTTACAGTTATTGTAGAGACGGTAGGC